ACTGGGCAGCTGATTAGAAGTTTTATTCTGGGCACATACTGCACAAGCCAACACAAACTGCTTGATGTCCTGGGTCATAGATGGCCACCAAAATCACTATTGAATAGTAGCCAGCGACATACAGACTCCAAGGTGACAGGCTACTTTGAACTCATGACCCTACTGAAGGACTTCTGGTCTTAACCTAACTGGCAAAAAGAAGCAACTACAGGAACCGCTCCAGAGCTTTCCATGAGTTGGGGATTTGCCGCTCGGCTACGGCCCTTACATTAATGTGATCAGCCCTGATGCCCTTCGTTGAGACTATATGCCCCAGGATCAAAACAGATTTGTTGTGGAACATATACTTATCTCCCTTGACATAAAGCTGGTTCTGCAGCAGCCACCACAGCACCTGCCAGACATGCTGAGCGTTTACCTGTTTGGAAGGGGCAGAGATGAGGATATCATCAAGGTACAAAAAGACAAATCTATTTACCATGTCCCTCAGCACATTGTTGACCAGTGGCTGAAAGACAGCTGGGGCATTAGTAAACCTGAAAGGTAAAACCTGGTATTCAATGTTTCGTGTGGGTATGTTGAATGCTGTCGTCCACTCATCCCCCTCATTTTTCCAGATTAAGGCATTGCAGAGGTTAAGTTTTGTGAAGATCTTGGGTCCCTGCAATAACACAAAGGCAGAAGATATCAAAAACACAGGGTACCTGTTCTTAACAATGAGGTAATTGAGACCTCTGTACAAGGACACAGAGAGCCACTTTATATCAAAGAAGAACCCAGTCCCAGCTGTAGAGGAAAAGGGGCGAATGAAGTCAGCTTCTATAGACTCTTGAATGTACTTGTCCATGTCCTCTCTATCAGGAATAGAAAGGAAATACCACCAACCTCTGGGCATAGAAGAGCCTTGGACTTTGGCACAATCATATGGTTGGTGGGGAGGCAAGAACATGGCCTGGGACTTGCTGAAGACAGGGCACAGATCATGGTACTCCGACAGGACTACAGAGAGATCTAAAGCTTCTAAAGATCTAAAGGACACGAGACAGCACCCTGACACATAGCAAAACAAGACTGACTCCAAGATAACACAGCCTGTTATCTATATGTTATATATTATCTATATAACAGATACCTGACTAGTGACCTCACGGTGATTGCCAGAGATAATTAAATTTGCAGATGGAGTGGAATGGTGATGGAGGTGATGGTAAGACCAATTAGGAAGCAGACACTGATAGGGGAAGAAAGAGAGATTGCAGGAATGCCACAGGACAGTGGTACTGTTCATAAAGTTGCCCCTGCTTCAGAGTAAATCAGGCCACAAACAAGAATGAATGACATCTCTGAGCTGGAGTGAGGCTATCAGCGAGGTACAATGTGTGGGGGTATCAGAACAAGGAAAGGTGCCCACCAGGATCCCCTGGACTACTGGTGAGTTGGGCTTTTAAAGGAGATCCCACAGTACAGACACAAGCCCCTAGCCAGAAAACAGCCTAGATGCTGTTTCTCCTGGGTAGTTAGTTGCAGTTGTCCATGCAGCATCAGTTCCTGGTCAGAATTTGGTGGTGGAGTGTGGAGAAAACTTGAGACACCCTCATCAGACTTCCAGGAAGGGCAAGTTGCTTGCTGAAGTTGACTGCGATGAAGGCGACCCTCAACCCAAAATCAACCAGGGCATCAAAAAAGTTATGGGCAGGCCCTGCCTTTAAAGGGGGTGATCGTGAATGCCACTCTGGATTCCTCAGTGATGTAAGGATGAGGCTGGAGAGCAAAAACAAGGAAACAATGGCAGAGGAAGGACTAACAGGAGCTGGGATCCTCAACATAGGCTAGTGGGCTGTTTGTATGAGGCTCAGGTTCAGGGTGGAGAGGAATGGCTGCCTGCCTGACGTCTCTAACATTAGGCTGACGCTGCTGGACTTGAACGTTGAGTTCAGTTACAGGTTGTTTAGAGAGATCAGCAGGAGGAGAAACTAAACCAAACTAGGACATTTGGAGTCTAGATAAATGACAAGACACAAGAAAACAATACAACTCTTAAGAGTTCTTTTTTGGTTTTGATTTTTGAGTATATGTTGGGTTGTAAATGAGCAGATGTTATTAATGCATACCTGCCAACATTTCTGTTTTTCCTGGGAGTCTCTCGTATTTGAGAACCGTCTCCCGGAAAACTCCTGGAATTTCAGGAGTTTTGATGTGAAATTTTTATTTGTTTAGAATTGGTTTAAAATCTGTCATTTAAATACATTTCGACATGCATTTTCAAATAACTTCTATAATGTAGAGATCAAAACAGTTTTCAATTTTAGACGTAATCCCAAACTCTTATAAAAAGTCCCTAATATTTTCAGCACGTAAACTGACAATGTATATTTCAACACACATTTCAACAATGATTAAACTCCTGTGACTTCCTCTGACAACAACATATTTAGTCATTTTTAACTGTTTTTTTTAGTGTAGTGATAATAAATGCTTTAGCTTAACAATGGTTTTTTACTCTTCTGCTGATAGTTTGTCAAAGCCCTGGTTGTGGCATACATCTCATTAAATTATGACACTATTGGAAACTTGATTTCAGTAATTCAATTAAAAGGTGAAACTGGTATATTGGATTGATTTATCACAGAGACTGATTTATTTCAAGTGTTTATTTCTTTCCATTCTGATGATGCTTACAGCTAATGAAACCCCACAATTCAGAATCTCAAAACATTTTACTATATGATGGCCAATTACTTTTTTTTAAAGGGATTTTCACACAGAAATGTTAGACTGCTAAACATTATGAATATGCTTGGTCTGGGCTGTTTTTGCCTGAATTACTCCATCAGTGTTTACAATACTCCACAGATCCTTTATGAGTTTTCTGGCCAATCCAGTACAGGGATATCATGGTTCTTAAAGCAGGTATTAGCACATTTGGTGGTGAGGGCAAATGTCAAGTCCTACTGGACTGTCAAATCAGCATCTCCATGAATCTGTCAGCAGAGGGAGCCATGAAGTCAATAGTATCTGACTGCAGACTAGCATATGCACCTGACACACCCAGTCTCAGACACAATGCACTCAATGGAGCTGGTGACGTCAATGTGAGGGGTATGGATGCTCCCCAAACCACCACTGACTGTGAAAACTGAACACTGGACCATACAAAACTTTCATTCTGTTCCCGTACTTTCTACTCCCAGACCTTGATTTCAAAAGAAATGCCAAATTATACTTTCATTTTATGAGGACTTTGGCCTATTGGTCCTTTTTGTCTTTAGCTCATATAAGACACCTCTAACACGGTCTCATGTTTTCCTCTATTGTAAGTAACACCTGGCGAATCTAGTGTTGAGCTCAGAGTGCATACTATTAATAATTCACTATACGGACACTGAAGGTTTATTCTCACTACATTATGTTGTACTAGCTGGAGCTTCCTAAAATGGCACTAGCATATAACATCTGACAGTAGTCAAGCTCTGAGGAAAAACAAGAGTATCCTATTATATAATATCATAGTATCTATACCAATAACACCCCTCAGATTCTTTCTGCTGTATTCTCAACATGCCATTTGACCATGACAATATTTAAACCTTTCCTCATAGTTGTCCTGAAGCCACAGATAAACATTCATTCTTGTCTGAAGGCAAATTTGGAAATCTTTATTGAATTCTCATAGTAGGAGAAAAAAAATAATGTAGAATTCAATGGTAAAAGGTGTCGAGCTTTCTTCTAAGTAAGGTCTTTTGTGTTTAGCAGAAGAAAGACAAACCGGTTTGGAACTCAAGAAGGGTGAGTATATTATGACTTTTTTCACTTTGGGCTGAGCTATCTCTTTCAGTATTGTTCAGAGACCTCTCGGATTTCATTTCAAATAAAAATTGTTATCTTCTTGAAAACTTGTGCTCAGAGAAACTGCTCAAATATTGTCTGTTCTAGTGGCGTGTTCTCCCAAGGACACGCCTACAGTCGGGAGAATCCCATGAATATTAATGTCAACACCACTCGGTGGAACCAATAACATTTCAGGATATACCTGTAGGAGCGCACAGGTGTGTTTTAGTGAACTGAAGAGTCAAAGAGCTCAAATTCTGTTCCTGCTGCACAAGAGCGTCTGTACTTCAGCATGTAAGTTTAATACTTATACCATTACGCTTGTTAGTGTTTGGTAAAGACCATCCTGTAAACAGGAAAAAAAATCCAAAATGCTGATGTTCTTTAAACAAACTGGATTTAACCCATAACTGTGTAATGATATCTCAGTATATTGTCATCTCCAGGTGATGGTCAGCGGCTGATTGTTTCCCTTAAAGCTCTGCTAATGTCTGCATTGGTATTTAGCTGCAGTATAACAGAGGAGCGAGTAAAGGACTCTCTCTCAGAGAAACACAGGTATTGACTCTGTTTTTACACCATTATTTCTACACTTTCTCTGAAGAACAAAGACTAACAACAATGCACTTATTTGTGTTGCTATTGCCTGATCAAATGATGGACGAAGCTTCAGGAAATGTTTTAAGAGTGTTTCGATGTGCATGTGATGCTTTTAATGCGCACACCTCTTCATATGACATAATCACGCCACCGCTAACCCGACCCCTCACAGTGACGTCACTACCTCCACTGAGTGCAGTCTCAGCTTGCTCATGCAAGGCTGTATCCAGATACTATTGAATGTGTTGAGATCAATGTAGGTTATAAACAGCTTGGTCTGGTGTCATATTTACCAGAGCTGAATATACTTAATGTGTCAAGTTATAAGTCCTGTACAACATCAGAATTAACCGTAGAACAGTTTCAGCAGACCTGATCAGACAGACCTTCAGTCAACTATTAGTTTGTGCTGAATTAAACTGAACAAACTCATATTTGGCTGATAAACTCTTAAAGGAGACTGAAGTTTACCCATAGTTAATTTCTCTGGTGTGTTTGTGTGTTCAGTGTGAGATCAGGATCATGTGTGTCCAGCCCTCTGAAGAGTGACTGGTCTAAAGAGGATCCACCAGAGTTCAGTGAGGAAACACCATCACCTGCCCAAAGGTATTTTGTGTTTTATATGCACTTCAAAGTATGTTGAAATTGTTTTATGCTATTGGACAGCTAATGATTAAACTGATGGAATGTGAATTGTCAGGACTCCTGTTAGGTTGTAAGTACATTTAAGACTTGTTTCAGTTGTTGTGTATGGTTTGAGGACTTGTTTTCAGCTGTTTGTGTAAAGTTGTAGGACATTTAAACTTGCTTTCAGTTGTGTATAATACTAGAAGTGTTTAGCCACTGTTTCCTTGGTTACTATAAGAGCTTGTGTAGCGAACGCAGACGTGGTTTTGCGTCGTCCACCTCAGTTTCGTCCCTTGTTTTGACTCTCGAGGCGTGTCCAGCTGAATTCAATCAGCTAGTGCTTTGGGGTTATATAAAGAACTAGTTAACCGCGGCAGCGGTCGCGGCAGCCTCGTGTGAAGACCGCCTCGTGTGAAGACCGACGAGTGTAAAGACCATCGACTCTACCTGCGCGACTCCACCGAGCAAAGACACCGACAAAGCACTTGAGTACTTTACTTTCTTTTTTTTAACTTTATCTTTTGTTGTCAGTGCACTTTTATTATGTGTTTTCTAATTCCTGTTGTTACTAACACTCGCAAAACACGGGAGGTACGCTGCAGGCGTAATCCTCACAACCTTCGTTCTATACATGTATCTACTATTTCACAACACTCTCTCTGTGGGCCTCTGGAATTGTCAATCAGCTGTTAACAAGGCAGATTTTATTACCTCCATAGCTACATATTCTGACTATAATCTCATGGCTCTAACTGAGACCTGGTTGAGGCCGGAGGACACTGCTACACATGCTACTCTTTCTGCTAATTTCTCTTTTTCCCACACTCCTCGTCAGACAGGGAGAGGGGGTGGGACTGGACTACTAATTTCCAAAGAATGGAAATTTACTCTGAGACCGTCCCTGCCAACAATCAGCTCCTTTGAATTCCATGCAGTCACCATTATCCACCCCTTCTACATAAATGTGGTTGTCATCTACCGCCCACCAGGTAAATTAGGTCACTTCTTAGATGAACTGGATGTTCTTCTCTCATCTTTTTCTAATTTTGACACTCCCTTGTTGGTGGTAGGTGACTTCAACATTTACGTTGACAAACCGCAAGCTGCAGACTTTCAGACTCTGCTTGCCTCTTTTGACCTAAAAAGAGCACCTACTTCTGCTACCCACGAATCAGGTAATCAGCTAGACCTTATTTACACACGACACTGCTTCACTGATCCAACAATAGTAACTCCACTACAAATATCAGATCATTTCCTTCTGTCTCTCAACATCCACATTACTCCTGAGCCGCCACACACTCCAACACTGGTTACCTTTCGCAGAAACCTACGATCTCTCTCACCCAATAGACTATCCACAATTGTTTCAGACTCTCTTCCTCCATCTCGTAAACTCACTGCACTTGATTCGAACAGTGCCACTAATACACTCTGCTCCACACTAGCATCATGTCTAGACCGATTATGTCCTCTTGCATCCAGGCCAGCCCCTGCCAGTCCTCCTGCACCCTGGCTCTCGGATGCTCTCCGTGAGCATCGCTCAAAACTTCGGGCTGCAGAGAGAATTTGGCGGAAAACTAAAAATCCTGCACAGCTCTTACCATACCAAACTCTTCTGTCCTCTTTCTCAGCTGAGGTTACTTCTGCAAAGCAGACATATTACCGTCTGAAAACCAACAATGCCACTAATCCTCGCCTACTTTTTAAAACATTTTCCTCCCTCCTCTATCCTCCTCCTCCACCCGCATCCTCCACACTTACTACTGATGACTTTGCTACATTCTTTTGCACCAAAACTGCAAAAATCAGTGCTCAATTTGCTGCACCTACAACAAACACGCAAGATACAACACCAACACCACACACACTAACCTCTTTTTCTCAGCTCTCTGAGTCTGAGGTGTCCAAACTCGTGCTATCTAGCCATGCAACCACCTGTCCACTCGATCCCATTCCCTCTCATCTCTTGCAAGCCATCTCTCCTGCAGTCATACCAACACTGACTCACATAATTAACACATCTCTTGACTCTGGTTTATTCCCCACTTCATTTAAGCAGGCTAGGGTAACCCCACTGCTAAAGAAACCCAACCTGGACCATACGCTACTTGAAAACTACAGACCAGTATCCCTGCTTCCATTCATGGCCAAGATTCTGGAGAAAGTAGTGTTCAATCAAGTTCTGGACTTTCTTACTCAAAACAATCTCATGGACAACAAGCAATCCGGCTTTAAGAAAGGCCACTCAACTGACACTGCCCTGCTCTCTGTCGTGGAGGATCTCAGACTGGCTAAAGCAGACTCTAAATCATCAGTCCTCATTTTGCTGGACTTGTCAGCTGCTTTTGACACTGTCAACCACCAGATCCTGCTATCTACGCTCGAGTCACTGGGCGTTGCGGGCACTGTTATACAATGGTTCACATCTTACCTCTCTGACAGGTCATTCAGGGTGTCTTGGAGGAGAGAGGTGTCCAACCTCAAGCATCTAAACACTGGGGTACCTCAAGGCTCTGTTCTTGGGCCACTTCTCTTTTCCATCTACACATCATCTCTAGGACCAGTCATCCAGAGACATGGATTCTCCTACCACTGCTATGCTGATGATACCCAGCTATACCTCTCTTTTCATCCTTATGATCCCTCGGTTCCAGCTCGTATCTCAGCCTGCCTGTTGGATATTTCACACTGGGTGAAAGATCATCATCTTCAGCTGAACCTCGCAAAAACGAAAATGCTTGTAGTTTCTGCCAACTCGACTCTACACCATAACTTTTCAATCCAGATGGATGGGGCAACCATTACTGCATCCAAAATGGTGAAAAGCCTTGGAGTAATGATTGATGACCAACTAAACTTCTCTGACCACATTTCTAGAACTGCTCGATCGTGCAGATTCGCACTCTATAACATCAGAACGATCCGACCCCTCTTATCTGAACATGCAGCTCAACTCCTTGTTCAAGCTCTTGTTCTCTCCAAACTGGATTACTGCAACTCTCTACTAGCTGGGCTTCCAGCTAACTCTATCAAGCCTCTTCAACTGCTCCAGAATGCAGCAGCACGAGTTGTCTTCAATGAACCTAAACGAGCACATGTCACTCCACTGCTAGTCCGTTTGCACTGGCTGCCAGTTGCTGCTCGCATCAAATTCAAAGCTCTGATGTTTGCCTACAAAGTGACCTCTGGCCTTGCTCCTTCTTATCTGCTCTCACTTCTGCAGATCTATGTGCCCTCCAGAAACTTGCGTTCTGTGAATGAACGTCGCCTCGTGGTTCCATCCCAAAGAGGGAAGAAATCACTTTCGCTCACGCTCACGCTCAATCTGCCCAGTTGGTGGAATGAACTCCCTAACTGCATCAGAACAGCAGAGTCACTCGCTACTTTCAAGAAACGACTAAAAACTCAACTATTTAGTCTCCACTTCACTTCCTAATCTGCAATTGCCTCTTTGAATATCACACTAACTGTACAAAAAAAAAAAAATACTAATACTACTAATACTTCCCTTCTTAGACTTTACAGACCTGAAACTTGCCTATAGCACTTATTCATTGTCGCTCTTAGTTGTGTAAATTGCTTCCTTGTCCTTATTTGTAAGTCGCTTTGGATAAAAGCGTCTGCTAAATGACTAAATGTAAATGTAAATGGTTTTGTTTTGGCATTGTTTTGCCTCAACTACTGTGCTTTCTGACCCAGTATCGCCCCTTTGTATTCAGTTGATTCAGGGGTGTCTTGTGACATGCTCCTTTGTTCTGTTTCCTGCCTTGGTTCCCTCATTATCATGCACACCTATGTTGATTATTATTAGTGTGTATATATTTAGGTTTCTGTGTTTTCTCAGTCTAATTCCCTAACATTAACCCTCCACATTCATATAGCCAAGATCTACTTCCCGCAGGCCCAGAGTGATGGCTTCAGTCCCTGACTGCCTGCCAATCATGGCTTTAGTCACAAAACATGGCCCATGGCCATTGCCATCCTGGTTCCTTGCTCCACTGGTCCCAATCTGACTCCTTGCTCTGTAGGATCTTCTCATGATCCTTGCTCTGGCAATACAAGTCTAGATTCTAACTCTGTCTGCATTTCACAAGCTACCCAACCTTTTGGCCCCAGTCCAGCTCTTAGCCTTGTTGATGAGCCCTGTACCCAGCCACACACATCCCAGGCTTGCTTCCAGCCCAGTTTCCCCCCAGTCTGATGTATAATAATGTAATGTCAGAATTGTATAGTCTTTGCTTATGGTTTTCCTTTGTCGATTGCACTTGCCGAGGATTCCCTTTTGTGTGTGGTGACACAATGAAAATGTATAGTGAGAAGGATTATTTTACCTAAACTTCCTGCTTTGCTACTGTACGGACGTCTTTGCCTACTGCTCCGCTCTTTGTACTCTTGCTTTTATACCTTATACCCTAATTTTAACTTGAGCCTATCAGCACAGTGCTCAAAAACACGGCTTGAAGATCAGCATTTATTCTACAAACATTCTGGAATATAGCTTTACTAACAAGAGGGGAATTACCGTCTAAACAATCCTCCTGCTACCAGCTACCAGCTGCTTACATTCCGGAGACGGGAAAACACGGCTGTGAAAATGCCTCTGGATCGGATTTATTCAGATTCTCACTGCTGTACAAACTGCCACAAACTTCTACAAAGGATTGCAGTTCTTGAAACGAAGTTGCTTGCGATCCGACCAGAACTTCAGCTTCATTGTGGATCCTCTCAGCACACAGCTGGTGAGTCCCATAAATCTGTTCCTGCTACTGTTTTGAGCACAAAAAACTGAATAAAACTGTTGAAAATGAGCATTGGCATAAACAAAGTGCGAGACCAAAGGGTACTCGCGGATCAGATCATACGCTGCAGCATTAGCGTCTTCTACCCCAAATACAGCTCGGACTCAAATACAGCTTCAGAACAGATATGAAGTTTTGAGTAATATGGT